AAAAATAAAAAATAAAAAAAAAAAAAAAGAAAAAAAGAAAAAAAAAAAAAAAGAAAGAGAGAGAGAGAGAGAGAGAGAGAGAGAGAGAGAGAGAGAGATGAACAGAAACTAAATCCAATGGGAGTGATAGAAAAGGAGAAGAGAGGGAGCAAGGAAGATCAGACCACTTACATTCCAATCTAAAGAAGTGACATCCTTATTACTGGGAACTTCAGTTCCACCTTTCTGTATACAGTGTCTCAATACTAACTGGTTGGCACTGTTACTACTGTCATTCATGTTCCATATCCTGGCTGTTGAGTCACCGGACCTGAAAAACAAAATCACACAATTCATTTGCCCTCTTCCAGACTCCCTTTCTATTCCTTCTTTTTCTTTCCCCTCTGCAGAAGTTGAGAATAATTCCTCGAAGATTGATATAAAGCATTTACTTCAATGCATGAACAACAGACAGAACCTTGCTCGTTATTGCACAGTACAGCTAGAAAGGTTATTTGGACTTTTAGCTCTTTTACTTGCCCTAAATGTGACTACAACATTAAAAGTTTTTATTACTGACTTCATTAAAAAATCCACTCTTATTTTGGAACAAATGTATGAATATATATCAATTCTAGCACCTGCATTTTGTGGACCAAGTTAAAAGGCATTGGAAAAGTTTCCATGACAATAAAAGCATCTGATGTCTAAAAGTAATCCATTAAATTTTTTTTTCTTCATACTTATCACATTTTCTTATTAATATTTGCAATGAGTTGTTCACTTGAAGCAGAAAAGAAATCTTGTCATAAACATGTTGAAAAATCTTTCATAATATTTCATCACCCCACTCTCACACACGTGGTTCAACAACAGCATTCTTTATATTTTAAATTGACAATTCTCTCCTTTCTGTGGTAGTTTTGTAATCACAACAAGAATCTCAGCTTACCCAGATGCTAAAAGATCATTGCAGGGATTCCATGCACAGATGAAAACCTCCGACTCATGCCCCCGTAATACCGTGGCTTTACTGGCTGGGATTTCCAGTGTTCCGTCAATCTCCATTGCATCATTGTGATTGGCTAGAACAAGAAGGAGACAATCGTTAAAACTGGTACAATTAGTTAATAACCAAATTTAATTGACTTCTTCCTATTGCTCTTTTTTTCTTGCATTTGGAGGTAAAGAGCTTTTCATTTGAATTAATGGCAACATTCAGAACAGTGGACTTACTAGTCTGAGGATCAAATATGGCCGACACACTTGTACTTCCCCACGGGGAATCTATTCAGTGTCTATTAGCCGGTAAGACGGCATTTTTTTTAGTTTGTTGCCATATTTGACCCTCGGCCTAGTTAGTACACTGTTCTGAATGCGGCCTATGATAAAGAAAATCAATGTTACAAATGAATAAGGCTAGTGAACAAAATCAATCAATTTAAGGTATACAATCCAACTTTGAAACTGTCTTAAAGCCAAATCCATGTCCACATGTTCTGCAAAGCTAGTTATCTTTCCAAATCAAGATTGTAAAAGTAATAAAACCCCTCAAATAAAAGCACCTGATGCAGCTTAACTTTTTTTAAGTCTTGGTGATTAGAAGACATGGAGGTCTCAGTGAGATGGGGCAGTCATTTAGAAATAAATTATTTAATTTGAAGTTGTATGAAACATGGAACATAAGTGAAGGGACAAGTTGAGCAACAATTGCTGAATAAGAAGAAAACTGCTCATTTTTCTTTCAATTTGGTGGGTAAATCTGGATAAGATGCCTTTTTACAGAACTGGTTAAGGGAGGGGGGGGGAGAGAAATCAGTTTTAGCTCATCTGGGGCATCTTTCTTTTAAATGAATTTTTTATTTCCAGTACCCTTTCTCAGTGTGTCTCATAAGCTGGCAGTACAATAGAAACCAATAGTCAGAGGAAATTCAAGTAAAAACACACACCAGACACAATACGAGTTTCTATTTTTAAAACTGCATCAAGTTATCCAACATTCTTCAAACAAATCACGCCATAAAGTGCAAAAGTGCACGTAGCAAATGGGGTTTTCCAGGAATTGTGATCCTGAGCGCTGGCCTAGATACACGGGAGTAATTCTAGGAATCAGGTCTTCCCAATTTACCACAACAGTGCCAGGAGTCATCTTACGTTCAGTAACTACAAACTGTTTTTCAAAGCCCCTGGGCATTTCTTAGTCAATACATATCTTTTGTAAGGAAGAACAGGGGGGCGAGGGCAAGTTGTTAAAAGAATACATATCTCTTTAATGTCAGGTAGGAAGCCACAAACACCTGAGCACGGAACCTTTCTGTTTCCAGTGGTTTTATGGCTGGGGGGGGGGGGGGGGTCTACCTTAAAGGTGTGTGATATGATAGGTGTGGGTGGAGAGCAGTGGGTAAGAAAAAGGTAAAATAACGAGAGAGAAAAAAAAAACAAAAAACAGACTTGACATTATTGTACCAGGTTCAAAAATGTGCTCTGTATTCGAGGTCAGACACAAGAGCCCCTATATATCGATATGTATGTAAAACAATCCCTGTTCTTTTATGACATTTTCATGACGCATGTCACGATCAAAGCTTTCATCATTTTCCGAGAATTTAACCCAAACCCTGCATTTAAACCATGTCTCTGCTCAGATTACTGCTTTCATTATTTTCCAGGAATTTTACTGACACTTTCCTGGCTGTCTTCAGTTTCATCATTAAATGTCACTCACAGATTTCACCATGACAGTGAAGACGATACTTCTGGCCTTTTCACATTGAGCTTAGGGACCATTCCCAGACCCTATCGTACTAACTATGAATCAATCTATCTCCATGGGGATTCCCGCTAAATTGCAATCAACTTAAGCAGATTAGATGTCTGTCAGGCCTACTGAAGCTGCTATGGGGTAATTAATTATTGTTTAGCTGCTTAAGCTGAAAGCAATTTAGCGAGGAACCCCTTGGAGATAGATTGATCTTGTTAGATCAATCTAGGTATGGGAACCCGTCTTTACACATCTCAGTCATACAACTGTACTGGTATGTTTTTACCAAGTAACTAAGCTACAGGGGACTTTATTCTTTTTAAAATTAAATATACTTCCTTCTTTAAATTTCCTTTTACTGCAAATTCCATTTGTTCACATTATCATATATTAATATCAGCAGTGAATCTTCTGGCAAAAAAATGTAATCAAAATTGAGGATGTTATCTTTGACTTCGCTTTATACAATTCTCTCAAGGGAAAAATATATGTACCCAGCCTTTCTAATAACAAGGGAAATGAAACAACCTCCTCTCTCATATCTGTGAAGTAGTTTGAGTACAACTGTTTTGTTAGTTTAGCTTTACAGATATTAACTACAAAATCTAAGCTGTAGGGGTCCCATGGTCAAACATGCTCCTGTAAATGGACTGTTACAGTACTCACATGCTGAACATGCAGTGAATAGGAGAAAACTGTACTCACATATTGAATGTGCAGTGTCGTCCCCGTTTGTATTGCTTGTTTCGTTTTTAATTTGGTGACTTTTGGCTGCTGCCTGTTTGCGTGACTCGACGACGTCTGGCATCACTGCGTCTATCAGGGATAACGATTCTATCACCCGTTCTGAGCCATCCTGGTGAGAAGTAGGGCAGAAATTTTAAATTTGAAATAAATTAATCAGAAAAATAATTACAGTCAATGGAATGAGTTATTTGAACATGCCACACTCGTGCTCACAGAGCTGCACATTCTTACACACATAAGCACACTGTAATATTTCACAGCCAGAACTTACAGGACTGAAACCTGAACCTAGTGGATTGAGACAGAACATACAAACCTAGGACAGAGTACAGAGATTGATAGTTTGATAAGGTGGACCAAAAACCTGAACCTAGTTGACTGTTTGGCCTACTTCTGGGTTTATTTCATTACATGAACAATGAAGCTATTGGTTTGCTGATGCCATCCATGTTGGCCCAAGGGTGCACAAAAAGAATGCATTCACATCAGACCTAGCTTGAACAGAAATGAGCAAAACATCAGCAAAACATGGCAAGGTTATAAGATTCTATGCCTCCCTTATCGTACCATAGTAACATCAGGTTGTCTGGTTGCACCGAATACCACAGTTTGGTCTAATTGCTCTGACTAACCTCCCAGACGACACACAGCACAGACTTGTACTTTAGTAAACACCCAAAACATTCAAAATTCCAGTGAGGAGTCTAATGAGCAGATAGCATGCTTACACAGACTGGCTTAATTTCCATACTCATCCCGTTTTTATTGATTTAAGAAGATGAATGAGAGCACGATGACCTCATTAGCATTCTGGGTCGGTTTTTGTCAATAAAGGAAGACGGGATGATGACCAATTTATAGTCAATTCGTGGCAGATTCTGCCTGGATCTTGAAATCTACTGGGGCATTGTCAATATATTTTATACTCTAGGAAACTTTTTAAGTTTTATTTTGCATACTCATGTAATATTAGTTAAGTATATACTTTTTTTTCCCCTCTCTTTCATCTATGACCCAGGTAAAAGTTTACTACCTATCAGAAAATGAAGCACCAAAGGCCCATAGCAGACATAAATACACCAGAAAAAATATCTGGATACCCTAAGGAAGAAAACCAGCAGACATTCCTCTCTTTATTCTGCATATGGAGGCAGTATTTATTGGTAAGTGGGTCAACTTCACCTGCATTCTGATAATGACAAAAATCAAGTCAAATATTAGGCTGTTAAAATACATACATACATGTACATGCAGGCAAATGACTACTTCAGGGCTAGTAGACCAGCAGTCTGTGTGCTTACTGCCAACTCACCTATCCATGGAGGAGCTATTAAGTGACAGCTGGGAGGCAGAAATCTGGGTCATCAGTCAATGACCACAAACTAGGTCAAGGTCAGGTTTCTCTGGCTAACTTAACACTGTGCCAGGGTGAAATTAGCACAAGGTTGAGGATTTAGTGTTTTGAGTGCAGGGCTATCTTGCATTGAATTTGCCATGAATTAATACACACACCCCCCCCCCCCCCCCAAATGCAAATGAAATCTTAAAATGCTGGGTCAGAAATTATGAAACACTCTATGTCAGTAAGTTCAATGTTGTGCATGTTAAAAAACTATTATCTTGAATAAGCTAGTGAAAGCTATTTAAATAAGCTAGTTGTTTGGAAAACTGAAGTTATTACCATAATGTTTTTTTATTGGGTTTTATCTTAAATCTACCCAATGCCTATTTTTATAATGGAATAGGAGGCAAAACTTATTTTTTACTAATTCTAACTTATTTTACAGTCAATTTCCCCTCCAGTTTAATCTCCTTCAGGTATTTGCCAAATGGGACAAGAAGCTGCCATATTACTATTAACAATCCAATTACATATATGGTATTGTATATCAGCTTTTTATGACCTGTTATTCAAATACCCTATCTTCTCGTGTGACCTATTTCTGAAGGTATATCATTTTGTAACTGTGTTCATTTCCATGACATACCGTTACACACATTTATGACTTTTATCAAACTATTCCCCCAGTCTTGTTCTGACCGTCATTGTCTTTTAAACAACTATCAGCCTGACCACAGTTGGGCTACATTCAAACTAGGTCACAAGATGGCCCAAATTGAAATCTGAACCAAAGATGACCTAAATTCAATTATAGGTCACACAGGCGACCTAGATAAAAGACGGCAGGTCATTAACTGTTCCCATTCAGAGCCAAATCTTGGCAATATGATGATAACCAATGCAAAGGGCAAGGGGATATTTCACATACCATGTGCCTGGCATTTGTTATTAAGTTCTGGTGTACGGCATTTGATATAGCAGTCGGTGCACACTGAGCGAGGTTTAGAGGTTTATCTAACAGCTAATGTGGCAGTCTCTCAGGGACGGAAACCACAACCACGCGCTTAGGTTCATACAGGAACACTGCACGCATTTTCTGTTCGTTTTTTTTTTTCCTTTTAAAAATGTGGGCAAGTCATCTCAGAGTGCTTCTTTTCAGGAAAAATTTCTATTGAAATGTGAGCAGACAGGGCCTGATGCAGTTAAGAATGTGCACTGGTGTGTGTGTGTGTGTGTGTGTGTGTGTGTGTGTGTGTGTGTGTTGAGGGGGGGAGGGGGCAGTTCAGACAGGATCTTACATGGACCGAAACTTCCTTCCCATGAAAACTAATGATTAAAATACCTGAAATACAGCGGTTTAGAACATGGCCCCTTTATGCCATCCTTGGTCTACTCTCTTTCTAAGCCAATACTGCCATTAGCACTTGCAACCAGAGAATATGGCAGTGTGTCAATATGACCTAAGTACTCGGACAAGGCCTGCGTCTGTGGCTGAACAGGCTGCACCAGGGGACTCTTTCCTGCTTCCCGTATCATTAAAATTTAAGCAGTTCAAATTCTGGCCTCCATTTAGCGGAAAAGATCATTTGTTAAAATGTCCTCTTGCCTTCAGATAACTAGCCACTCTCTTGGTATCCTTGATTTCTTCTACAATATTTTAGGAATAATTTAACATTTTTATTTATCTTATTATGATTTATCCATTTTCTTTCCCCAATATCCCTTACCCAAACATAAAACTTTTCATCAACTGCATGGAATAAGAAAGGATACAAGACTGAGAGGATTTTACCAGTTGTGTCTTTCTAATAAGTTTAAAATAGTTTTAGCCACCACTAAGCTGAATCTAATAGCCCAGAAAGCACTGAACTCTACACACATCCAAATCCATACAAGAAAGCCCAAAAAGGGCCCTACTTTATGGGAATAAATAGTGACTGTGCACATGGTACAAATTACTTAACCAGACACAAAACAGCAGGGGTTTCATTTTTGCTCCAGTCTCACCCCTACTCTGTGGGTGAAATGATAGCAAAACCAGCACTAAAGGGCTGTATTTTTATCACTTTAACCCAATTCAGCTGGATGGGAGCACTTTGCTACCAAAAAGCCTGTTCCAAAATGTGATAAATAAAACAACTAGGAGAAAAGGTGGATGGAATGACTGACACACACACACACACACACACACACACACACACAGACCAAGGAATTAACAGGACTTCCTTTTTTGTGGGATCGACCATATCTAGTCAGCAGATTTATTAGAATGCACTCTTTCATTTGCACACATGTGAGCAGACACACAAACACACTGCCTGTGTACTGGAGTCCTTCAAATGTACATACACGTACACGTACACGCACGCATGCACGCACATACTTACCTCTCCAATACTAATCTCTGCCTCTGTGTACTGGAGCACTTCAAATGTACGTACACATACACACATGCACACACACCCATAAAAACACACTTACCTCTCCAATACTAATCTCTGCCTCTGTGTACTGGAGTCCCTTCTGGATGACACTGAGAAGAGCGGCCGGGGGAACTAAAGCACCATTGATATTGGACTGACTGATATGGCTCTCGATTCCAAATGTGTAGGCTGAATGAGCAAATCCTGGAGGAGAAAAAGAACGGAGAAGGCTATTAAAGCACATTCAGAACAGTGGATTGACAGATCCACAGATCAAATATGGCGAACCACTTAAAAGCTTGCTGCTTAACCCACGATTAGACACTGAATAGATGCCCTGTGGAGATTATGCAATAAGCACTCAAGTGAGTCGACCATATTTGATCCTGGGAACTGTTAGACCCCATTGCCAGAGATTAGATCGATCCAACTAGATCGACATAACTCCCTGGGGGTTCACACTAAATAGCTGTCAGCCGAGCGGGCACGAAAGTTAATTACCCCCTTACAGCTTACAATAGGTGGGACGGACATTTAAGCCGGATTATCTGACAGTAATCTAGTTAGACTCCCCACAAGGATAGATCGATCTAAAATCTATAGGAATGTGCCCTTAGTGCGCTGTTCTGAATGCGCTTACAGACACTGACACTCCCCACGTTATTATAGCCACAATCTGTTCTTCATATTATTCTTGTTATATTGTTATTATTAGGGGATAGATACCAACTGAATTATAACTGGTACCGCTGTCATCTCTAAGATCAACTCATACTAAGATCACGTCGGGTGTGCATGCACGTGCCTTCCCAGAAAGAAGGGAAAAGGGATATGATTCAGAGCAAAAAAATAAAATGTAGAAAATAGAAGAAAGCAAATGTTATTAAAACTTTTTTTCTGGAGTTGTTTTTCAATAACAGCTGGTTATAACAAAAGAGGATGTAAACATGTTCATTTTATCTTTCCACTGATCCATTTTGGTTTATTTAAGATCCTTGCAATCCAAAATTGGTTGACTCAAATGCCAAAAAGACTTAAAAAACAAACTTTAAGACATTTTTCCCTAAATGTCAAGCATTGCTTGTCAGGAAATAAAAGAAAGCGTGCCCTTTACTCAACGTGCAGTAGACTGAAAACATCACCGTGACTTGACATCTTTCTTTTCTTTGCTTCATCTTTGTTTTGTAATAAATCTTTATTTGTTTTTTAAATTAACTACCTTATTTATCTTCATTAAACAAATATTATAAGAACAATTATAATTTGTCTTCTTTTACTGACTTTTTTATTTATATAATGCATTATTTTGACAAGCCAATTTACTTTGTAATTTAACTCAAGTTTGTGGTTTCCTCCTTTTTTCCAGGAAACTCAGAAACACCACAATTATTTCAAATTTCATAATATCCTGCAACTTCTTACTATTTACATCTATTCTGAGCTAGAATCAATATGGCACCAACAAGCACCATGGCCAATCATGCCCATGCAAGGCTCCATTTTTTCGTCTTAAATTTTGCCATCTCTTTTCAACGGTCCTTTGTCCCCCCCCCCCCTTTCTCCTTGATAGGGTAAAAGAAGCAACCATTAAGGAGAACACACACATAAGCTGGCATTGCATGAAGAAAAATACTGAATAGGTCATTGAAAACTTTTTCTTTTCGTTAAACAATTTTGACAAAATTATTTGCATCCCTTACCTTTTATACTATCCCACCTGCTGTCACTTACACTTATTTTATTGTTCTTACATCAAAATAGTTTTGAGCAAAAACAAAAGTAAATAAATAAATACTTGATACTTTAACTTAGTCAGGGTGACGAGTTAAAGATAATATGAGAACCATTTATTTTCAGTTACTTGTTTTTTTTTTCCTGCGGTGATACTAGTAACTGGGTCATTCCCCTGAAGTAACAAATGCCAAAAAGATAACCAAAAAACGTCAAACTAGGTTCTGAAGAAAAAAACAACAACTCTTATCTGAAATTCTGGCAGAAGACTGAAAATAAAAGGACAAAAGATGTTATCTTATCTCTGTTATGGCAAGGATTGTAACAAAGTGGTATCTTAACCTTTAGAGGAGAATGGGTGTGCTAGGAACATCATATCACTTTTTTAAAAAAACACAAAAGTCAAACAAAATGGATTATTCACCTATTCAGCCACTTTCTACATAGATAAACCAATCTTGCCATCATAAATCACTTACAATTACTATTATTTACGATAAGATTCATATCACCCTACTTCTTGGAAACTTACAAATGAAATGACGTTTTTTTTAACATGCGGCAAAGCCAAGCATGTCTTTAGATTTAAAGTTCTTCTTTTCAATCAGACTTCTTGCAAATGAACAATTTGGGGGGGTGGGGGG